AACAGGCCTGAGCTATTGGCCAAATATTTATAGTTAATATTAAGTCTCTTAGAACTGTCTGCTGGGGAAGAAAAGTCCATCCACATGTAGCCTTGTGAGGCCCAGGGCTAAGAACCCATGGAGCTGCCCATCTGCTAGGACTGACTGACTGACTGCAGACTGCTGATGAGCTGGCCCATTTCCAGTTTTTGAAAATTAAAGCTGGATTAACCTAAGCATGGAATCTCCTTTGTAACCCTGAGCCATTTGTGTGTGTGTGTGTGTGTGTGTGTGTGTACATATACTTACTGAGGAGCCTTTGTCAAAAAGTAGTGGAGATGTTCCAGTGGAGGACCAGCCTCAGGCGATTGGGTCACCACAATGTAATTACATCCCCACATGGCTCTTCTGTGGATAAATCCTGTGTCCAATGGACTTTTTAATCTGTACCCTAATAAACAGTCAAGTGGGGAGGGGGGAGACTCGGAACACCAGGCCTTCCTGTGTGTCACCTGGGAGAGCACAAGCTATAACACGTGCTGTAAGGTAAGAAGCCGACTCTGAAAATGATCAGCTCACAGAGGTGTGGTGGTGAGCACCTGTGTCCTGTTCCTCAGGAGGCTGAGGGTGCAGCAGTCTCATCAGCTGGGACGCCGTGATGGAGCTGTGGACAAAGAGGAGATGGAGCTAGAGACAGAGAGCCTCTTAACATATGGCGATATTTTTGCTGCACCATTTAAAAATTAACTGCTGTAGTTGGAATATAAAACAATGGGTTTCAGTACTGGGGAGGGTGAGGCAGAAGAACACTCTGACTATGAGGCCAACCTGGGCTAAACAGTGAATTCAGGCCAGTCTGAGCTAGAGTGTCAAAGGCTGTCTTAGAAACAAACCAAACCAAAGAAGCCACAGTTGAGTCTGGCATTCCGTGTGTCCTTGTCCTTTGCTCCAGTTCATCCCTCATCCCTCCCCCACCCTACTCCTCCCTCCCCTCAGACTCCCTTCTTATCACATGGATACTTTTTGAGAACTGAGTGAGGGCTGCAGGAAGTAGACGTGGACCAGAGCAGTATCTGAAAGTGAGGCCTTGAGCCTGAAGGGGTGTTAAAGGTGGGAAGAAATCAAAGTTGGGGACAGTTTTGAGCATGAATCAAAGCACTGAGACTGCCCTTCAATACTTTCCAGGCAGCACTTGTGCAGCCTGGGGTGGCTAGCACAGTGTGTAGCAAGCACTCAGCAAACGTTTGTAGGACTGGGCTGAACCAAGGAGACTTCCTGTTCATCTTCTACCCACATATGGCAGCCACAGCTTCTCTATCTAGATAAACAGCCCCATAATCAGCTAACTGCCAGCAGGTGTCTGCAAAGTACTTGGCACTGTTCTAAGCTGTGAAGACTTAGCTCAGACATAGTAGTGAGCGAGCAGTGTCCTTTGGGCTTGTATTCTAGTAAACAAAGGCTGGACCGTATGTAAGGGCACATCTGGCCCACCGCCTTCCCGGCGACAGTTCTCAGCCCAGGAAGCTGCCCGCTGAATATCAGTGGGCACCCCACCACCGTTGGCATCACAGTCTAGGCTGCTGAGTCTAACAACGGGCCCTAAACGGGTCTAACTGAGACCCAATCAGGGACAAGCAAAGGCACACCAGTGACAGGGGCCTTCTGCTCTCAGCTGGCTTCTCCAGGGAAGCAGCCTCGCACCAAGGCAGCCTGAAGAAACCGTTCTTTTCCACTGCAGGGTGGTCGACTCCCTCAACAGCCTTTGCTTTTCTCTTGAGACTTACTCTTTGCTTTTACTGAGATGCTAAGGAAACATTTGATACATAATATGATCTAAAATTTGCCCAGTGTACACACGAAATGTCGGTGGCAGCAAACACCCCTGAGAAGAATAAGCGGGTCTGGAGGTGGACCGGAGACTACTCTAGAGAGATGCTCAGGGAAGGCCCACACAGTGCGGGGAGAATCTGACACTGGAAGTGTAGGCTGGACCATTCAGGTATCTGAGAAGAACCTTCCAAACAGCAAGAGGACAAGGGCAAGGCGAGGGGTACCTGTGGAGGCAAGCATGTCCGTCTGTCTGTCTGGGATGTTGGGGACATGATGTCAGGTATGCGAAGAGGAGAGCTCACGATGAGGGCCCTGTGGCTTTAGCCTTTATTCCAAATATAATGGAGATGTGAGGCCAGACTTAAGGAGAACAGGGACATACATAGAAGGAGAAGACAGTGGTGGCCTGGCCCAGCAGCAGAAAGGGGGACTCTGGAAATCTTAAGTCCTGGGTTCTCCTGGGCCCTGTTCCTGTGTCCGGTAAAGGTCCCCAGCAGAGTTGGCTACTCCCTTGGCGGGTCTCCGCTGTAAGTCACCCAACCGCTTCCCCTGAGGGCAACAGCCGCTGTCTAGCTGGCATAGCCCTTGCTTAGGGATGTGTTAGCAGTGTCTGCCACACTGAATCCCTGCCAAGATGCTAATCAACGCTACCAAGAAGCAGAAAGTAGAGCTTGGGCAGGGCGGCTTGGTCAGAATTCTGCACCAGGGCTGCTTACGCACCCCAAGTAAGTCGCATGTTGGATCAGCTCAGTTCAGAGAAGAACTGTTGTGCTTGCCTGCTTCCCACCAGGGACCTGAGCTACCAGGAGGAGGCTTGCTCACTTTCTACACGTCTGTCTCTACGTAAGTTTCTGGGAAAGTAACACTCCCATCCTTCTGTTTCTATGGGTGCAGGTCAGAACGTTCACTCCTGGTTTGGGGTTTGGAAAACCCAGATTTCTTTTCTAGAAGTCTTGAGACCAAGGAAAGCAAGGCATGCTCACAAGCCTTGTCATCTTTCTGCATGGTTCCCGGAGAAGGAAGCGGGCCCAAACGTGGAGCAAGCACCCTGCCGTCCAAATCCTGGACCTCAGCACACTCAGGCCTCTATGTTGCTTGAGACAGCCTGTGGCTGCCGCGTCTTCCGCAGAGCTGGCGCAGCTGACAGCGGGCAGCTGGTTAATCTCATTTGTAGGCAAAGCTCACAAGAGCTCCGCGCCTGCGCTGCCCGCTGCATTTGCTCACGCAGCCAGAGCAGACTCCAGCTGGCATGCTGAGGGGCCTTTTAAAAGTAACAGTTTTATCGTGGTTTAATTCACGTATCGTAGTATTCAGTGTGATTTACTGTATTCACAAGGTTGTGCAATTAGCACAATTTAATTCCCAAATATTTTCTCATACTTATGTACAGTCATCTCCTGTCCCTGGGCACTGACACAGGCTAATCATCTTTCCGTCTTATGGATTTGCCTATTAAGATATTTCATATAAACGGAACCCTACTATCCACGTCCATCCTGTGTATTTCACTCAGCACATTTTAGGTACGTCAGTACTTTATTACTCTTACTGGCTACATAATAGTTGGTTGCATGTACGCACCACATATTTATCCATTCATCAGTTGGTGGGTATTTATTTTGGTTGTTTCCATCTTTGGGGTATAGTGAATATTTCTGCAATGAACATATCCTACAAGCGTTTGTGTGGACACAAGTTCTCATTTATTTGGGGTATATATCTAAGAATGAATTAACGGGTCATACAGTAACTGGAACCTTTAAGAAACACTGTCAGATTGCATCCAGAGTTCCAGCGGAACGTGAGGGGTGTGTAAGAATTTTAAACAGATAGGTGAGAAGTTGTCAGCCCAGTGTGGCACTTGGCCCTTCCGATACTCCATCCACTCGGCTTGAGGGCCTGGTCTGGAGCACTCTGCTCAGCCCAGCAGAGAGCCCTAGCCACAGCCTGGCTTGCTCAAGAGCAGTCTGCAGGCTGGTCGGGTCAAACCTCTGGACTGCTGTGGCTAACGAGCTAGGCCTCTGCCCTCTCTCTCTCTGCCCACCTGATTGCATACCCTCACTGCTTCTCTGAGTGGAGTCTGAGGTTCATCTCTTTAGTGCAGATGAGAAATTGAAGAGGGGCCAGGGAGCCAGCCGAGCTGTGTCTCCTCTGCCGGACAGGAAAGGCTCGGCTGTGGAGGCCTTTGACTCCGCCCAGCCCAGCACTTTGCTTGTGGTGTGAAAAGGAAACGTGTGTTCTTCTCTGTTTTATTCCTACCCCCTATCCGCGGGCAGTCTCTTCTTACGGCCTGCACCGCCCAGTCTCTTCCGCGCCGAAGGGAAGCAGTTACTCGTGTGGCCAGCAGGGGCGCTGTCCTCTGGCCCTGTTGCTGCCGCTGTCTGATCCCGACCTGCTTCGGGAAAGTCTTCCCAGCTGGGTCACTTTAGCACAGGAGGTTGGTTCCGGGGCCTGCGGCCTCACCACCGGCAGAGAGCAGCTTCAGGCACCCCCCGCCAGAATCTTGCTTGTTACCTCCTCCCGGAAACCGCAGCAGTTACGAGGGTGCTGGAAACCAGAAATGCTGTCCAAACCTGCAGCTCCACCCGCAAGGGGCCTTTCCAGGAAGGCGGCGGGACAGTTACGGCCTTTTGCCAAGCAAGCTATGGCTGTTGACCTGTTGACCGAGGCAGCTCCCAGCTGGGCTATCCGCAAGTTAATCAGTACTGACACAAGTAAAGGGGTTCTAGTCAGCCGCACACCCGGGTTCTGGTCCTTTAACAGCATCTTTCCACAGACTCAGGAGAATGAAGATCCCACATTCTGTGCTGTTGTCTGGCTGTGCATGTCCAAGTGTTAGTGTGACTGTTCCTGTGGTAATAACTAAATCACGTGCAGGGATACCCGGTGTAAGGGTTACATCCTTATTATGTCACCAGCCTGCGACGGTGTCCCAGCCCAAAAAGCGGGCGTGCCCTCCCACGGGTCTCTCTCCCCATATTCCCTCTGTCTTCCGTGAGCTCGCGCTCTCTCTCTCTCTCTCTCTCTCTCTCTCTCTCTCTCTCTCTCTCTCTCTCTCTCTCTCTCTCTCTCTCTCTCTCTCTCCTCTGTCTCTCGCTGTCTCTCCTAATAAAGCTCTAAAGAGGTAACCATGGCTGGTGATTCTTCCACCTCAGTCGTCGTGGCTGCCCTTGGGGTCACATGTGAGATATCCTGCATGTCGGATATTTACATTATGATTCATAACAGTAGCAAAACTACAGCTATGAAGTAGCAACACAATAATTTTACGGCTGGAGGGGTCATCACAGCACAAGGACCTGTATTAAAGAGTCGCAGCATTCGAAGGTTGAGAACTACTCGGGTAGAGGGCTGCCGAAGGCCTCCAGCTGGTAAGCGGCAGAGGATCAGAAGAAAAGCAGCCGCATGCTCGCATGCTCGGTTCTGGGTGTCCTGAAGGTCCTAAGGGTTGAAAGAGGCTTTGACAGGGCTAGGTCACCAGTGCCACTGACGGGAGACAGAGATACAGGGGAATGAAAAGGAAAGAAGATGGGGAGGAGAGACCTGAGGCAGGGGTTGTGGCTGGTGGCCTGGAGCCTCCAGCGGGGACCCTCCCACTCTGCCTGGAGCGGGCTGCAGGAGCAAGCACAACTTTGCTCTCTCAGGCAGGGCCAACAAAGGGCAGCTGAATCACAGGGTTTCTCAAGAAATAAAAATTCCTAGCACACCCCTGGGGCCTTGGGGAGAAAAACTGACAACGTGTTGATTGAAAACAGACCCAGCGGATGCTGGGTTTCGGTGGAAGGCCTGGATCTCACAGGTTTACAGCGACACCTAGTGGTCTTCAGAGGTACCTGCCACTTCCTGGGAAATGGCGAAACGAGAATCACAGAGAGATAGATGTCCTGTCAAGGCCCAGATTCTGCAATGCCCCACCCTTGTGGAACATGCCGCACTCCCTGGGGAGGTCCAAGACTGCCTTTCCCGGCATTTACCCAGGAGCTGTGTGTGCCTGAAACAGCAGAGATGTTCTGCAATGGTCATTATCATTTATTAAATATGGCTAAGTGTACTTGATGGTGACACGGACAGACTTCCCACCAGGAGATGCTTTATTGTTGGATTATGTGTTCAGAACATAGAATGATTATGCTCCCATATCAGATCAGAGACCTCTACTTACAAAGGAGAGCTGCATGTCTTTCAAAGTAATAGCACGCTAATGAGTCTGTCTCCTGTCTTGCCTCCCCTCATGTCACTTACACTCTGGCTAATCTGAAGGCTTCTCGGGGGCAGGATATGTTCAGTGTTAGCTCAACATTTGTAACACTGCTGCTACTCAAAGAATGATGTCTTCACTGAGGGACTTTGGCTCCTGATGAAGCAGTTCACAGACATAGGAGGAAAGTCAAATAAGCTTGTCTCCTGGGATGAGCTAGAGCACGCTAGACTCCCAGAAGAATTAATCAAACCAGGGAGGCCCTTGCCAGGCCCCACCCTCAGCCCAGTTCTCATTCATGGATGAGGTTTGTTTTTTTGGCTCTAACAGGTCAGAGCAGCATTTCTGCACTCCTGTGACAGGCTTATTAGCTACTTGCAGGGGTTCCAGAGTGAGTAGGGGCATAGCCATGCTTGGATGACCCACTGGAGACCGTCTTTATAATGAAACTGTGAGCTTCTGTCAGCCAGTCTCACTGAGAAATATCTGCAAGCCACACTTCATTCAAGTTTTGTTGGCCAAAATTGTGTTAACTGGACTCCTTTTGTTACCCTAGACACAGGCTCCCAGGCTAGTTAGGAGGCCACATGTGAAAACAAAGAGTCTTGGCTCAGTTGCTCAGTGTCTCCAGAGCCAGGAAGAGATAGACAGCCTGACCTTTCAGAGACAGTATAGTGGGCATGGGTCTCATGGATGCCAGCTCAGCAGCATTTTAATAGCTTTCCAAACCTGGGACATAGCCACTGCCGTGGTTTGGATAAGGCTCACAACAAAGATCCATGTAGTAAAGGTATGCCCCACCTCAAGGGCGGTACAGTTGGGAGGCAGTGGAACCATTGTTGGGCCTAGTGGGAGGTGTTTAGGTTCTTGGAGGTTTGTCCTTGAGGGGAATTGTGGGATAACCTCTTTCTATTTCCCCCCGGGTAAGTAGTTTTCTCTGCCATTTCCATCTGGTATCCCCACCAGGAACTCAAAGCAATAGATCTTCCCAGTCTTGGACTGGGCCTTCTGGAACTATAAGACAAAGCAAGCCTTTTATCTTTGTAAGCTAATTGCTTCAGGTCTTTCATTACAGTAACAGAAAGCTGGTGAACACAGCCATGTTGTCGGTGGCATCTCACTGGGGCATCTCACTCTGTTATGAACTCATTTGTGGCAAGTCCTCAGCATGTGATCTAGGCTATACCCACCAACTGGACATCATGAGACTTCAGTCTGGAAGAGAAAAAAGCAAGGGACAGATTCAACATGGGATTGTGTCTCAGTGATGGAGGTAGGGTGTGGCAGAGGACGAAGATACTCACAGCAGAATGCAGCAAAGGCCTATCACCAGGTGGGTGGGGAGCTCTGCACTGCTCATGAACTCAGAGCCCATTTCTTTTTCACTCTGAATCATGTGGAGACTCTGTCAGCCGTTAATATGCTTTCATAAATATGACTTCTATTTAAATCAACCAGAGTGAGACTCACATGTTTGTAAGACCCTCAACTGATAAATTCACTGTGAAAGTTAAACTTCATAATGACTGAGATCAGGAAGCTATGCCTAGCATGCACAGAGCTCCGGCTTTGAATCCCAGCACTGTGTGGGCACACACACACACACACACACACACACACTAAATTCAAAATCATTTGGTTGTTAAAGACAGTTCAAGGATCTTCGTCCTCCAAGTACATGCTTGATGTAGAAGTTATGATTACTGCCTGCTCAGTGTCTCTCAGGCAACAACCATTTTCTATGTTAGGCCCTGTGTTCTGGTGGGGCTGACAACATTCGCTGGATCTACAACTAAGTCCGTGACCTACATCAGGCCATTCAGACGGCTGTTCCTCCCAAGCTCTATGATTGGTTCACTCATGGATAAGTTTCCCAAGGTGGACCAATGAGACCAGTACTGTGGATACAGGCTGCTGATCTGGAAAGTCAGTGTTGATGACTTCGTGGCCTATGGGAAGGGGCCTGCCAGCCAGAGAAGAGCCACAGCTGGAGGGATAGATGTGGTTCCTGAGTGATGTTGAGCACATGTGTCCAGCATTACCAAGGTTAGGGCTGGTCTTAGATCACTTTCCAGTTGTGGAAATCACCAAATTCCATGTCAGTTCACTTGAGTTGGTTTCTGTTACTTGAAACCAGAGGGTTCTGATGCATATGCTGGCACATGTTCAAATGCTAGATTTTTTTTTTTTTTTTTGGCAATTCTTTAAAGGAATTAAATTATACCACTTACTGCAACACTCACTTGGCTACTCTTCCAGCCTATGCCTTCACTGGAAGATAAATGGTATGGACCTGCTCCAGGTGAATGGGGTTTATCCCCTCTGAAATTTATATTGGAACTTGATTGTCACCCTGGCATGTTGGGAGGTAGGGCCTCAGGGCAGGTATTTGGGCTTTAGAGAGAAGAGACCTCATGGATGGATGGACGCTCTAACTACTGAGGGAGTTTGCCCTGTGCTCCTTGTCTTTTGCATGCACCCACTTGCTCTTCAGCTTTCCACCATGAAGTGAAGAAGCTTAAGGCCTCACCAGAAGCCAAGCAGATGCAGCTTGTCTTAAATGTTCTTGCCTCTGGAACTCTGGGCTACACGAATCTCCTCCCGTAAGCAACGGCTCACCTCAGTACAAGGACAGCAAACGGGCTGAGACAGGCCCCAGACGTTCTCTGTCCTGTACCAACGCCCTGAGAAATGTGGCCGTGTTGGCACACACTTGTCCCTGTAAATCTGCCTTGTTCCTGCAGCACAAACACTGGGGATTCTGCCACTCTCCATGAAGCGCTCCTCCCAACTCTGACAAACACTGTTGTAACAATATAAGCCTCCGTTGCAGCAGCAGGTCCATGTTTCACCTTAAGCACAGTGTGGTACCCACCTGTGGCAGGTAGGCTGCCAGACACCGCACAGGCACTTGGGTTCACAGCTGCTGTGGCGCCAGCAGGCCTCACTTAGCTCCTCTGCACAGATCCGTGAGGCCTCTCTGCTGCCAACGGACTCATTTTCTTCTTATTCTTGAAATCAGTTTCCTGAGAGGAGAAGATCATTTGATTTCTCTAACTGGGGTCTCTCGTTAGGCAGAACTGACTAGGCTGGAGCCCAGAAGACAATGTCAGCCAGTCTCTGCACAGGTTCCCATGAGAGACCGCAGCAAACTGGATGAGGAAAGTTTAGGGGCAATGACCGTTTTCCTCAGGCGGGAGGGTGGGTGCGATGGCGTCCCTGATCAATGGGTCTGGACCACTCCCTGGTGTATTAATAGCAGAAGATCGTGATGGTGACCTTGGGAAGGTGGGTGTGGAGGAATGGCATCCCTTCCGGCATTTCCCTTCTTCCTGCACCGCACTTACTGGCTGTCCCTCTGAATGGTGTCAAATTTTATCAGAAACCCAAGGGCTGAGCTGGTTTCTGATCCCAGAGTCACTTTTAGGGATGAAGAAGTGCTGGACATACATGAACCTCAATGCTCCTTTGATATGCAGAGCAGGCATCACGGTCCTCACTGTGGGATTAGCAGGCCCCAGGTGGGCATGGACAAGGCAGTGAGGCGTCAGCAGTCTCCACTTCTTTTGATGGGCTTGGTAAAGCAATATTTGCCCTATAATTTTCCTCTGTGATTGGGAGTGATAGATATGCACTTGCTGCCCTTGGTCTTGTCCTGAGTAAATTCTGTAGTGTTGCACCTGACCTCAAAAGCCGTGTCAAGACCTCCAGTTTCAAGCCAAAGTGCCTATAAAATTCCTGGGAGGCTCCGAGGAGAACCATCTGGGCCCATCCCCGTGGATGTGTGGGAAGTGCTGCTGTTAGCCTACTGTGTGAGCTTTTAATGAACAGGAAGACACGCTAATCCCCGTTTTATAAGATAAAACCCTTAACCACCAGGGTGGCAGCAGGAGAGAATCTGATAGGACGGCAAGATGTGTCAGAGGTCCCCTTTGCTTGTCTGAATTTCCCCAGATGGACAAAGTACTAAGGCGGCTGGCTACTTCATCCCCTGGGGAAATGCATAATCTTCGAAGTCAACTCCTTCCTGAACTTAAAGGATCCAATACAGCCAGAGTTATAAGCTTGCAAACCCGTGACTCATCTTTCCAGAGCTGTAGTGTCTTGGTTTTGGGTTAATTTATTTAATCCATTTTGCTTCTGGAGACTTGTTTCATTTCCCCCATTAAAGGAGTATCCCAGGGGCTGGAGAGACGGTTCAGAGGTTAAGAGCACTTGTTGTTCTTGCAGAGGACCAGGGTTTGGTTCCCAGCACCCTCACAGAGGTGCACAACCACCTGTAACTTCAGCTCAGATGCCCTCTTCTGGCCTCCACAGGTACACATGTCCTACACATATGTACATGCAGGCAAAATGTTCACAAACACACAACTAAAATAAAGTCTTTAGAGAGTGTCACAAAAGATGCTTTTCCTTCTTCCTCTCTCTGTGTATGTATGTGTGGTGGGATAAGCTTTTTGTGCACTGTGAAGATGTGTCTCTGCCAAGGCACCCTCTGATTGGTTTAATAAAGAGCTGAACGGCCAATAGCAAGGCAGGAGAGGATGAGTGGGGCAAGAAGAGATAGGAACTCCAGGAAGAAGAGAGGAGGGATTTGCCATTGAGAGGGAGAGTAAGTCAGAGTCGGACATACACTATGGAGGAGAGGTGACGAGCCATGTGGCAGAATGTAGATTAATATAAATGGGTTAAATTGTTATAAGAGCTGGTTAGGAACAAACCTAAGCTAAGGACAAGCTTTCATACTTAATAAGAAGTCTCCATGTCATTATTTGGAAGCTGTCAGTCCAAAGAAAGTTCAATTGCAGGTGTGCATGGGTGTCTATGTTCATATGTGAATGTGCGTGTGCGTGTGCGTGTGCGTGTGTGTGTGTGTGTGTGTGTGTGTGTGTGTGTGTGTGTAAGTACGTGTGAACACCAAAGGACATTTTTCCTCAGGTTTTTGAGACAGGGTCTTTTACAAGACCAGAGATTGTTGACTAAGCTAGTTTGGCTAGCCAGCAAGACCAGGAATCCACATGTTTCCACCTCCAAGTTGCACACACTACCACATTTGGCTTTTTATGTGGGTTTTGAGAATTGAACTCAGGTCTCAGTGTTTGCAGGGCAAGCAATTTACTGAGTTATCTTACTAGCCCAAAATGTGGGTTTTAGTTTGGGTGAGTAACTCCTAGGTGACCTGCCGTCACTCTGGAGAAGACATGCTGATTGAAGGAGCGGACTTAGGGCACTTGTTTAAAGCCGACTGTGTCATTTTTTACTTGGCGACGGCGGGTAGGGTCTGTTTCCTCCTGTGTAGAGGGAGATAAGGGTAATAATACACCTGCACAATAGCAGTGTGCACATTCAGTGCGATTCTGTACATGAGAAGTACATAGGAACGAGCCACTATTTTCCTCTGGCTGGGGGATTTCCTGGGGAAGCTTCACACCTTCTCCGCGACCTCTGGGGCTGCCTGCACTCTGTAGCCCTTCCAGTGGAGGGCAGCAGAGAGACCACATCTGGGCACCTTGGGCTTGGCCTTAGTGCCTTTCTTCTGCCAATAGGTACTTCAGGCCAAGCCTCACTGGTTCCAGAGAGAGCAGCCAAGGGAACAGCTGGCTCAGAGTGTCAACCTGGACACGGGCCGTTTATAGAGTACAAAGTGCATTATGTGCAGACTGGCTGCTCCGTGTCACTGGGCACCATACTTACAACTCACAGGATGACATGAAGAGCCCCCCATCCCCCTCTCCCCGCCTAGTTACCCTGCTCTGTCACCTGACTCTGAGAAAGTGACTCATCAAGACAGGCCCTACATCCAGGCTCTGGGAGAACTAATCCATAAATTAGCCAGACTTGGGTTAACTCAGTGATGTAAGAGGCTGGCAAATGGTTAAGTGCTGTATCTAGAAGGTGCCAGGCTGACAGATCCAGGGCTTGAGGACGCCACTGTGAAAGCTGAAATGTGCTTTTCACGCTGCCAGGCTGCACAGAGTCATCTTATCCTGTCGCTTGAACAGAATTTAGAGAAAACCACCTGGAATGCTCAACTGGATGGACTCCGAGGTCATCAGCCTAACTCCTTGGTACGTAGATAAGAAAAGTCAGAGAGGACCCCATCTCTCCACTCATGAGACACAGTTCCAGGGCCAAGATCTGGGACTGTCTTAGTTAGGGTTTCTATTGCCGCGATGAAACATCATGTCCAAAAGCAACTTGGGGAGGAAAAGGTTTGTTCGGCTTAAACCTCCACATCACAGTTCATTACAAAGTCAGTCAGTGCATTAACTCAAACAGGGCAGGAACCTGGAGGCAGGAACTTGGAGGTGGGAACTGATACAGAGGCCATAGAGGGGTGCTGCTGATTGACTTGTTCATCATGGCTTGCTCAGTCTCCTTTCTTATAGAACCCAGGACCACCAGCCCAGGGATGGCACCACCCACAATGGGCTGGGCCTTTCCCCATCAATCACTTGAGATGGTGTGGGGGATGGGGGGAGAAAGAAAGAAAGAATGAAAAGAAAGAGAGAGAAAGAAAGGAAGGAAGGAAGGAAGGAAGGAAGGAAGGAAGGAAGGAAGGAAGGAAGGAAGAAAATACCCTACTGATTTGACTGCAGCCCAATCTTATGGTGGCATTTTCTCAACTGAGATTTCCTCCTCTTTGATGACTTCATCTGTGTCAAGTTGACATGAAACTAGCCAGCACAGAGACTTTTATTCTCCTTGCCTAACAAGCCATTTCTGAAGCAGTGGGAGCTTTGAACTTGCTTGAGATTTATTGCACTGAAATCTCAGTGGACAGATTCTGCTTGCTGTGTCTTATCTGGTGTCCCCACTTCCTGTACAGCTTCAGGAACATTGTTTGGTGGTGGAAAGGGGATAGATAAAGCCACAGTGACTGTCCTAGCTTTCAGTTGCCCCAAGGAGCCTCTTGGGATCTCTACAACTCCAGAATCCAGACTCTCTGAGTTTGGATGGGAACTCTTTAGCTCTGGGGATGAGTCAACACAGGCTCAGCTGAGTGTTCCTTGGCTTGTCCTGTATTCTCCAGAGTATGCCAAAGTGCTGGGTCATAACTGGGATGGAACTTCAAAGCCTCTGGTTTTATTCTACTAGAGTGACTGAGCAGTGCATGTTCCAGAATTGGAGTGCTCCCTGTGCCATGTGATGTTAGGGCAGCTGGCTCTCCCTCGTCCTTAGTCCAGTGCCCGAGAGTGGTCCCTAGGAAAAGGAAGGAAACACTTTATGAATAAGAGGGTCCTAAAGGGAAGCAGGGGATTTCCCTGAAAGGGTGGCTGCCCTGTGCCCACCCCAGGCACTACGCCAGCTGCCTATGCCTAGGGTTTTCTCTTGGGGTTCCTTTAGGTGGGAGGGTACTGCCAAAGGTAATTTTGAGGAGACATTGCTCATGCTCACTCATTTGCTAGAGACACATCTGTTCAACCACACTACAAAATCATCTTGTTGACTTACTTAGTATCTGTGAAGTTTATATTCTAATTAACAGGATGTGGGAGTTTACAACACCTGAAGGGGCTAGCAAGGCATGAAAAATGGATGAAGATCTGGGTACCAGATGTTTGTCTCACCTACATAAAATAAGATAAAGTGATGAGACAAAATGTTAAATCCAGCCCACCCACCCTCTGAGACTGCAACTGTTCCCTGAGACAGAGCCTGCCAGCACCCAACTGGACTAAAAGGTGAGTCTTTATCCTCATACCCGAATACCCCAGCTCCTAGGCTTTGGGCCCAGGAGCACAACCCTGCGCCCCTACACCACCACCCATTGCAGTTCCAGTTTCAGGCCAGTTGGCAGCAGATTTCCTGCACACAGGACAGACTACCACCATTCTCCATCAGACCCTATAACCCAAGCCCCACCTCCCCCAAATCCCACCCACCCTCCTAGACTGCAACTGTTCCCTGAGACAGAGCCTGCCAGCACCCAACTGGACTAAGAGGCCAGTTGACAGGCAGACATCCTGCAGATAGGTCAGACTACCACCATCTACCACACACTAAGACTGCAGTTACTCCCTGAGACAGAGCCCACTAGCGCCAGTTGGACTAAGAGCTGCTCCCTAAGATAAAAAGTCCATCAGCATCGACTAGACCGAGAACTCCCACTGGATCAAGAGTATCAATCAGACCAAGAGAGGCTCCCTCAGACACAGACACTGCTTGCACCAAGTGGAGAAAGAGATGGGTAGATGCCAGTGCAAAAATATAGTCAACAACATAAAAACCAATATGGCTCCATCAGAGCCTACATCAGCAAGACCTGAACCAACACAGAAGAAACAGAAGATATCAACCATAAAAATGAAGATATTAGAGATCATAAAAGAGGAAATGAAAAATTCCTTAAGGAAATCAAGGAAAAGTCAAACAAAAAATGGGAAGAAATCAGTAAATCCCTTAAAAGCCAAGAGAAAGCAATTAAACAAGTGAGGGAAACAGTTCAAGGTTTCAAAACTGAAATGGAGACAATAAAGAAGACACAAACTGAGGATGTGCTGGAAGTGGAAAATCTGAGAAAACAAACAGGAACTACAGATGCAAGTATAACCAACAGAATGCAAGAGATGAAAGAGCGGGTCTCTGGCGTTGAAGATACAGTAGAAGAAATAGATTCATCAGTCAAAGAAAACACTAAAGCCAACAAAGTCATGACCCAAAATGTCCAGGAAATTTGGGACACCATGAAAAGACCAAACCTAAGAATAATAAGGATAGAAGATGGAGAAGAATACCAACTCAAGAGCACAGAGAAAATATTCAACAAAATCATAGAAGAAAACTTTCCCAACCTAAAGAAGGAAATGCCTATAAAAAATACAGGAGGGTTACAGAACACCAAATAGATTGGATCCAAAAAAAATAGTCCCCTCGCCACATAATAATCAAACCACTAAACATACAGAATAAGGAAAAAATATTAAGAGCTGCAAAGGAAAAAGGCCAAGTAACATATAAAGGCAGACCCATAAGAATAACACCTGACTTCTCAATGGAGACTCTAAAAGCCAGAAGGTCCTGGACAGATGTTATGCAGATACTAAGAGACCATGGATGCCAATCCAGACTATTATACCCAGCAAAACTCTCATTCAACATAGACAGAGTAAACAAAACAGTCCATTATAAAACCAGATTTAAACAATATATCTCCACAAATCCAGCCCTACAGAAAGCACTCAAAGGAAAAATCCAACCTAAGGAAGCTAGATACACCCATGAAAACACAGGCAATAGATAGTCCCATACCAACAAATATCAAAGAAGGGAAACATACAATACTATCACCAAAAAATAACAGGAATTAACAATCACTGGTCATTAATATCCATCAGTATCAATGGTCTCAATTCGCATATAAAAAGACACAGGCTAACAGAATGGATATAAAAACAAGATCCTTCCATTTGTTGTATACAAGAAACACACCTCAACTTCAAAGACAGATACCACCTCAGAATAAAAGGCTGGGAAAAGACTTTCCAATCAAATGGATTTAAGAAGCAAGCTGGTGTAGCTCTCTTAATATCTAATAAAATAGACTTCAAGCTAAAATCAATTGAAAGAGATAGGGAAGGACATTACATATTTATCAAAGGGAAAATCTGACAAGATGAAGTCTCAATTCTGAATATTTATGCCCCAAATACAAGGGCACCGACATTCATAAAAGAAACATTACTAAAGCTTAAATCGCACATCAAACCCCATACACTAGTAGTGGGAGACTTCAACACCCCACTCTCACCAATGGACAGGTCTGCCAGACAGAAACTTAACAGAGAAATAAGGGAACTAACAGACATTATGACTCAAATAGACTTAATAGATAGCTACAGAATATTCCACCCGAACATAAACAAATATACCTTCTTCTCAGCACCCCATGGAACCTTCTCCAAAATCGAACACATACTTGGTCACAAAGCAAATCTCAACAGATACAAAAAAATTGAAATAACCTCCTGTGTCTTATCAGACCACCATGGCTTAAAGTTAGATTTCAACAACAACAAAAATTACAGAAAGCCTACAATCTCATGGAAACTGAATAATGCCCAATTGAATCACCAATGGGTCAAGGAGGAAATAAAGAAATGAAAGATTTCCTAGAATTCAATGAAAACAAATGTACAACATACCCAAACTTATGGGACACTATGAAAACAGTGCTAAGAGGAAAATGCATAGTTCTAAATGCCCACATGAAGAAGTTGGAGAAATCTCACACTAGTGACTTAACAGCACAACTGAAAGCTCTAGATCAAGAAGAAGCAAACTCACCCAGGAGAAACAGACACCAGGAAATAATCTAATTGAGGGCTCAAATCAATAAAATAGAAACAAAGAGAACAATACAAAGAATCAATGAAACAAAGAGTTGGTTCTTTGAGAAAATCAACAAGATAGATAAGCCTTTATCCAAATTAACCAAAAAGCAGAGAGCAAGCACCCAAATCAACAAAATCAGAAATGAAAAGGGGGACATAACAACAGACATTGAGGAAATCCAGAGAATCATCAGGTCATACTTCAAAAACCTGTACTCCACAAAATTGGAAAATCTGAAAGAAATGGATGATTTTCTGGATAGGTACCCTGTACCAAAGTTAAATCAAGACCAGATAAACTATTTAAACAGACCCATAACCCCTAAGGAAATAGAAATGGTCATTAAAAGTCTCACAACCAAAAAAAGCCCAGGACCAGATGGTTTCAGCGTAGAATTCTACAAGATTTTCAAAGAAGAGCTAATACCAATACTCTTCAAATTGTTCCACACAATAGAAACAGAAGGAACATTACCAAATTCTTTTTATGAGACTACAGTTACCCTGATACCCAAACCACACAAAGATGCAACATGAACATTGATGCAAAAATACTCAGTAAAATACTGGTTAACCGAATCCAGGAACACATCAAAAAAATCCACCATGACCAAATAGGCTTCATCCAAGGGATGTAAGGATTGTTCAACATACGAAAATCTGTCAATGTAATACACCATATAAACAAACTGAAAGAAAAAAAACCACAAGATCATCTCATTGGATACTGAAAAAGCCTTTGACAAAATCCAACACCCCTTCATGATAAAGATTCTAGAGAGATCAGGAATACAAGGAACATACCTAAACATAATAAAGGCAATTTAGAACAAGCCGACAGCCAACATCAAATTAAATGGAGAGAAACTTAAAACAATTCCACTAAAATCAGGAACAAGACAAGGCTGTCCACTCTCCCCATACTTATTCAATATAGTACTGGAAGTTCTAGCTAGAGCAATAAGACAACATAAGGAGATCAAGGGGATACAAATTGGAAAGGAAGAAGTCAAACTTTCATTATTTGCAGACGATATGATAGTGTACATAAGTGACCCCAAAAATACTACCAGGGAACTCCTACAGCTGATAAACTCCTTCAGTAAGGTGGCAGGATACAAGATTAACTCAAAAAAAAATCAGTAGCCCTCCTATATACAAATGAAAAAGGGGCTGAGAAAGAAATAAGAGAAACATCACCCTTTATAATAGCCACAAATAATATAAAATACCTTGGGGTAACTCTAACTAAGCAAGTGAAAGGCCTGTATGATAAGAACTTTAAGTCTCTGAAGAAAGAAATTGAAGAAGATATCAGAAAATGGAAAGATCTCCCATGCTCATGGATAGGTAGAATCAACATAGTAAAAATGGCAATCTTACCAAAAGCAATCTACAGATTTAATGCAATTCCCATCAAAATCCCAACACAATTCTTCACAGACTTGGAAAGAACAATAATTAACTTTATATGGAAAAACAAAAAACCTAGGATAGCTAAAAGAATCCTGTATAATAAAGCAACCTCTGGAGGTATCATGATCCCTGACCTCAAGCTCTACTATGGAGCTATAGTAAATAAAAACAGCTTGGTACTGGCATAGAAACCAACATGTGGACCAATGGAATAGAATTGAAGACCCTGACATTAATCCACACACCTATGAACATATGATTTTCAACAAAGAAGCCAAAAGTGTACCATGGAAAAAAGAAAGCATCTTCAACAAATGGTGCTGGCATAACTGGATGTCAACATGCAGAAGATTGCAAATAGATCCATATCTGTCGCCATGCACAAAACTCAAGTCCAAGTAGATCAAAGACCCCAACATAAATCCAGTTACACTGAACTTGATAGAAGAGAAA